CACATCAATCTACACATATATCTTTTCACGTAAATGTGTTCACTCATATGTAAGTATACACACAAACATATATACACCCATACACACATGCTTACCTATTTGTTTTCATAAACACTTATGCACATATTTGACTAGTACATTTCTAAATCAGTACTTAGATAACATGTAAGACGTCCTCAAATACGTTACTAATCGTGTAGCTGTAAAGGATCACTTATGACTGTTTCCCATCAAGTGACCCCAGATATATACACACACAACGCATAATCTATGCACCTACTCATGTGAGAATGCATCTAGCACAAATACTCACCTGTATCTATTTACACAAACGCGGGCACATATGTTTGCATATACAAAAACTCTGTCCTGACACAGATACAAAAGCAAAGAAACACAATAGTATGCTTGTGCATACACGTACATGAAGAGAGATATGTGTGCGTTAGATGCCCAGGTAAGCGCGTTTTGTAAAGTGAGGTCACATGTTATGAAGGGAGGGGGATTTACATGAAAGATCATAGTTGGAAATTTTGCATATATATATATATATACTTCTGCATTTCCTCAGACATGCATATAAACATATACCTATCCACATGCACATACATATAAACATCCACAAATACATGTAAAACACCCGAAATCTAAGTTTCATTTAATCTTTTTTAAAATTGATGTTATTTTAGAAATCTGAAGCGGTTCTTATGTCTGCATTTGAATACAAGTTCGTTTCGTTGACTAAGCAGTTCGTTGGTGTTTTCATATTTGATTATTAGGATTTTTTCATTGATGTATAGATCACATCTGTCCCTGAAATTGTTGGGAGTTCGAGCCTTACACATGATCCTCCATTTTAATTGTGGGGTGAAGCCTCCAACAAATAAGGTCACAAGAGTATCTTGATAGGGCCGACTGCTGATTAAAGATTAATTATTGAAGCAATTATTATTGTCACCGCCAAGTTTTAATAAATCCGTTCATTTTCACGAACAACCTTCCGTGTATTGATATTAAAGGACGAGAGAAATGTGCTACAATTATTCAAATTTCTTTTATTTTCATTTCCCAAGTACTTTCGATCTTCTTCAAGATTATCTTCAAGGATGCAAGTAGTTCAAAACTATATGTTGTTCAGAGGTACAAGTATTTATACAAAGCTGTGCGTTGTTATCTCTTAGCGTAATTTTTCATTCAGACGGTTGCCAATGTGCTGACCGTTCATTAGAACGTGAAAAAATTATCCATTATGGATTTTTCCTCTATGTAATAATCTCATGGTCATGCGCGCATTAAAGCGTGAAAAACTGCTCCTTTATAGGCATTTCAGAACATTACTGCAGTATTTATAGTTGATTCTGATAAGTGCCGGCTTAAATTTTTTAATATAAATTGCTTCTAGGATCTCTAGCTTGAATTTATTATTTTCTTGGTCTAGGATGGTTGTATTTGCTTTCAGTATTTTTTTATGTTATGAATATGAACAGGAATTGCGAGACATCTACAACAACATTCATTTTGGACATCGGCTGCCATTTTGACTTTGTCACATTGATAAGCCTTTTTATCAAGGCAGGAGTAAATTCTTGTCAACGTAGATACCATGTTGATTTCCCTCTCCCCTCTCTTTCACCCTCTCTCTCTCTAGGACAATTTTGCAATCATTTTCTTAATAAGAATTATCCACTCACCAAAGTTTCAAAACATAACAGAAATACTTTCCTCAACTATGAAACCAAAAAGAATAATTCCAGAATGAACATGGTCTTTTATTTTAGTTACCACTTCTACAGACTTTCCTGCACCTTAAGAAAAGATTTCCGGCATTTAAAACTAGACAATACTATTAGTAATTTATTTACCGATAACCCCCTACACGCGAGGCGACAACCTCAAAACTCTTTAGACTTTTTAACATCTGCAAGACATCACCTCATCAAGGGAATGTCACCTGCAAAAATCCCCGGTCTACAAGCACATCACAACATTTACACACATCCAGCACTCACATGGTATTCAAACCGTTGGCTCTAAGCTGTCACAGTTCCAATCTCTTAGATTTACTTTTCTGCCACAAGTGCGAGACGGGGAATTATGTGGAAAAAAACCGAAACTGAGTTCCGTCTACGGTTCACTAACTGCCAAAAAAAAAAACATCAGGGACAACTACAACAATTTTCCGGCCTCTCTACGCAACAACCAACCAACCTGGTCATAGCATCTACGACGTCGGATGCGTGGTTTTAGCGTCTTGGTTCGCCAGCAAGGAGGACAAACATAAATCAAATTTGAAGTATATTCTAAAAGTTTCCACATTGAGTGACTAAACACTATTTAGGTTTACACAGAGAGTACAATTTCCACAATGAAACCACTCCTCAAATGAGTAAGGTCCTCTAAATTTTAACAGTCATCAACCCACCTGCCTACTATATTTCATGTTCTACCACCTATGATGACGTACTTGTCTGCAATAGAATGATTCCCCTGTACATTAAGGGCGACTTTCCATTCACACTCTTTATGCTATAATTGAATCTATCATTATGGCTCCTTTACATATAAGCTTATGAAGATCTGTATTAATTTTGTACATGTATTTATATGTATACGTATATGGCGATGCATATTTTTGTATACTGGCTTCTATATATTTACATACTATTAGTGCACATATGTACTCATGTGCATCTATATATGCACACGCTTTTTTCTCGCAGTTTTTTCTTTATTTTATTAAACCATTTTTGCTTATAGATTTTCACATTTTTATCTATATTTTATTTTTTCACTTTTTCTTTTCATTTTATCTTATTTAATATTTTTTATTTATCAGGTCATCCCATAAGTTCTGTCCGAATTTTAACTTTTTGTTGAAATGAACGAAATTTAAAGAATATTTTATAATGTCTAATGGAGCTGAACATTATTTTTATGTTTAGATGCATTTAAACTGATCAAATTTTATTTCAGAGAATAATAAAATTAAATTTTACTTGATTAAAATTCTGCTAACATAGAAGTACCCAAGAATCATTTGAGGCACATAATGCTTTATGAGTTCAAGAAAGGAAACTCAGCAGCCGAAGCGGCTAGAAACATTCACTCAGTTTATGGAGAGGAATGTGTGAATGAAAGAACTTGCAGAAGATGGTTTGCAAAATTCAGAGGTGGAGATTTCACCCTTGAAGATGAAGATCGAACCGGACGTCCAGTTGAGTTTGATGAAAAGCTTCTTGAAGCAGCCCTTGAAGAAAATCCTGCTTTATCAGTTGAGGAATTGGCAGTGGTTCTCAGTTCAAACCATACAACTGTTCATCGTCATCTTCAACAACTTGGAAAAGGTCCTATTGGAAAATGGGCGCCTCATGAATTGTCTGAAAACAACCTCAAATCCCGAGTTGACATCTGCACTTCTCTCCATACTTTTTTGGATAGACTTGTGACTGGCGAAGAAAAATGGATCTTTTATCGAAATGTTAAGCATCGTAGTCAGTTGCTTGGTAAAGGGAAAGGACCCCAGCCACAGCCGAGAAAGGAGCTTCATGGGCAAAAGGTTCTTCTTTCAATCTAGTGGGATCGCCAAGGAATAATCCACTTTGAATTCTTACCACCTAATGCAACAATTAATGCTCAAATATACTGTCATCAATTAGAGCATTTGAACCAAGCTTTGAAGAAAAAAAGACCTGCTCTAGTGAATCGAAAAGAGGTGATGTTTCATCAGAACAATGCGCGACCCCACACAGCAAGAATCACATCACAAAAGATCGAAGAACTTGGTTGGGAGAAAATTCCTCATCCACCTTATTCTCCCGATCTTGCTTCTTTAGACTACCATTTGTTTCGTAGCTCACAGAATCATTTGGAAGAAACAGCCTTTGTAACACAGGAAGAGGTTAAAACTGACATTTGTGAGTTCTTCGAATCAAAGCCAAAAGAATTTTACAGTAATGGAATTAATAAGCTTGATATTAATGGATGGAAGGAAGTCATAGATAATCAGGGAAAATACATTGTTGATTGAATCTGTAATTAAATGTAACACTGGTCACTTGTTTTCTTTATTCAAAATTCGGACAGAACTTATGGGATGACCTGATATTATCATATATTCCATTTTACCCTCTTTTTTCTTTCTTTCTTCTTTCTCTTTCTCCCTTTTCATCACATCATATTCTAACTATACTTCTGTCTTTCATCACTCGACCACGTGGTCTGCCAATTTTTGCTACAACTTGTTACGCGCGAGACCTCTTTCCCTCTCCCCAACCCATAACTCTCTTCATCAACTTTAACAATGTCACTCCCCACACGACACACACTAGTAACAATAGACCTGCCTAACACTTTTACACCGATCAAAATTTTTAATTTAAGTTTATTTTCATAAATGCATATCAAGCAATCAGAGAGATATCTGGCTTTGGCAAATAATATGATTTCTATCTGCAAAAAAAAACTGTCGGTGAGTAATTTTCATTTCTCTGTTTGTTCCTCGGACCGTTGATAAAGGACACAGGCGTGTCCTAAAATTCCGAACATAAAACCTTTCTCTCCGTGCTTAATTTCTATCATATGGTTAATATTTAATAAATGTTTATCGTACTGATTATATTGGTAACCTTTCGTTTGACCTTGTTTTATTAACCAACCTATCTCTTTTTACATAAGAAGCACATGCGGACCGGATTTTGTTTTATATATATATATATATATATATATATATATATATATGGTTATTTTTTCAGCGTAGCTTAGATGAGACACAAGACCGAAAGTATGGGCACCTAGTGAGGACCGAACTCACTTTTCAACGTTGTAATTTTATTCTTCGTTCTTTTACATTTGTATATATATATATATATATATATATACTTGCAAGAAGTGGGTGGTAAAAGTTTCTCTGCTGTTATTCCATCCGGTTCATTGGGAAATATCATTCAAAATTCTTTGAAAGATTCAAAACAGAAAATATTTGTTTATCTACAAGATTATTATTATGCATAATGAAGAGACAGAAAGAGGAAGACACACACACATAGGAAGACAGGCAGAGATCGATACACAGAAAGAGAAAGACAGGCAGAGACACAGAGAGAGGGAGTCAGGCAGAGATATGGAGAGAGGAAAACAGGCAGAAATACAGTGAGGAAGACAGGTAGAGACCCTAAGAGAAGAAGACGGACAGACACAGAGAGAGAGGAAGACAGGCAGTGACACTGAGAGAGGAAGACAGGCAGTGACACAGAGAGAGGAAGACAGGCAAAGACACAGAGAGAGGAAGACAGGCAAAGACACAGAGAGAGGAAGACAAGCAAAGACACAGAGAGAAGAAGACAGGCAAAGACACTGAGAGAAGGAGATGCGCGGCTACAAAGAGAGAAGAAGACGGGCAGTGACACTGAGAGAGGAAGACAGCCGTGCATCTGTTTTTTTTTTTTCCTTTTTTTTTAATTTTTAAGCATAGTTGAGATAGACAGAGAGAGGAAAACACACACACACACGCACACACAGAGCAGGAAATGCAGAAACAGATACACAGAGAGAGGAAAACAAGCAGTAAAACAGAGAGGAAGACACGCAGAGACACTGAGAGAAGAAGACGGACAGAGACACAGAGAGAGATAGACAGGAAGTGATATTGAGAGAGGAAGACAGGCAGAGAAACAAAGAGAGGAAGATAGGCAGAGACGCAGAAAGAGGAAGAGAGACAGAAATACAGAGAGAGGAGAGCAGGCAAAGAAAGGAGAGAGGTAGACAGACAGAAGTGAAGAGAGACAAAGACAGGCAGAGACACAAAGAAAGGAAGACAGTCGGGCATCTGTTTTTTTTTGGTTTGTTTTTTTTTTTCCTTTTTTTTTATTCTGATGAAGGAGATATTATGCATGGAGGTATTTCTGTGTCATGGTTCGATTTCTTGTCTGACATCTCCATGACATTGAATTATTACTTAGTAAATGATGCGTGTTTGTGCAGCATTTTCTTCAAGTGACATTATGACAAATTGCAAGTGAACACCAAAAGCGAGCACGCATGTTCACGGTATAATAAGTCTTCAGCTTTTATACAACAGACAACACGCTTTCAATATCTAAAGAAAAAAACACAAATATTCGATGGTAAATCAATACGTACTCAACGTAACACTGATTTATAAGGTCACTTTTGACCTGATATTTTTCCTGTATAATGTTCGATTTATGTTATGAATGCAAACGGTTATGTTCATTGACAAGAATGGATTATGTTGAAAAATACATATTTGTTGCGTAAAATGAATTCCTCTTACATGATTAAGCTACGAACGTATTGATATGTCAACGGAGGCGTACAGTTTTCTTTTATAATAAAAAAAGGAAACTGTGTTAACAAAGAACAAATATCTGAATATATCATCTGAAATGACATTTATTTTTTGAGAAAGCAACACAATAAAATGATCTGTACAGTAGTATTCGATTTGAATTTGAGATGATCGTTGATCATTATTATGTCTTGTTATTCAGACAAATATCTAAGCATTGATATTTATACCGTACTGTAATGATCGATGAGCAATTCATTTGTCTTTACGGAACGATTACAAATATCAATATTTAAATTATGCAAACGTCAGTTTTTAATCAGCACCTGATGATTGCCTCGTACATAAAAACCCAGTGTTGTGCTACCTATGTATTCATATATAAAAAGAATGTACAAACATAAAAATGTCTTTAAAATAATTGTCGGACTTTGTCCATTTCATAATGTGACGTCATTTGTTTACATTTGGATACGCCAAGAGCAGATATGAATGTACGTGAGAGATTCATGAAAGATTATAGTTTAAAAGCAGTAAAATCGACCTCGCTAAACGAACGATCTTCTGTGGCTCCATGGGTTAAAGCACATCAGGCTATATGACGGTTCCGTAAAGGATACAGGTTCGATTCCTGTCGGAGGAGGAATATTTTCTATGAAAATTTCTCGGACATTCAGCCCGGTAAATGTTATTAATACTGTTTATTATAAACAGAGCATTTACTTAAATATTTGTATCTATAAAAAGAATGTATAAATATAAAAATGTCTTGTCGGACTTTGTCCATTTCATAATGTGTGACGTCATATATATATATATATATATATATATATATATATATATATATATTCGCTTGATGATGCAATGGAACTACTGTCTTTAATTTAATTACAAAATTAAATTCGAAGCTTTTAGCTTCCATTTTTGAAAAATTGGTTAGAACTGTGTAGCGAAAAACCCATATTTTAAATCAATTAATTTGTAATATATATATATATAAGTTCATATGTTGTTACTGTTTTTTTTTTCAAGTATTTTACAGCCATTATCAAAAATCATTATAGTGCCTGCTGTGTGGTAGTTAGAATTCATTTGTCTATATCCTGGTATTCTTTTGGAAGTTGGATGTTTGAAATGGTCTCGCGTGACGTCATACCGATAATGGGAATGAGGCCGCACAAAAAAAATGTGATTGTTAAATTTATTTTTTATTATTTTTTTTCATTATTTATGTATCTGTATTTTTCATAAACTAATATAATATATGCACACGTTAAATATATCATACACTTTCCAAAGAATAACATGGTGTGTTCTAACTACCACACAGACACAAAGTGGTTCTTAATAACAACTGTGACAATCCAAATTAATTACACAAAACAATTACAAAATATGAAACTGAGACAGTATATTCACATTTCCGAACACAATAGCCAACGCCTTATTCAAAAAATACAATAAAAAATTTAACACAGAGACCTTGGTTCTTTTTAATCAAACCTTCATTAGATTAATAATCGCTGTCAAATCACATATATATATATATATATGTGTGTGTGTGTGTGTGTGTGTGTGTGTGTGTGTGTGTGTGTGTGTGTGTGTGTGTGTGTGTGTGTGAATTATATATAAATGAAATTCAATTCTACTCCATTTAGATGGCCATTTCACTCCTCGAGTAATTTCTCTCCTCGCGAAATTCGCTGGTGCTTGTCAATACCAAAACGTTTGATAAAAAATGAATTGTAACATTTTGTTTTTAAATTCAAAATTAAAAGGTTTAAAATGAAAGCGGAAAAAACTGCAAAAAGCGGAAAATAGGAAAAATTACATAAAGAATTACAATAATTTATGTTTGCAGGAGAAAATTAGAATTATTAAATTCAACAATCAAGGAATTTTACTAAATCAAAGGAATGAATTGGTTCCAAGTGTCTTCATAGAAGTAAATTCCAACAGATATAATATATTTTCAACCACGCACTTTCCACCTTTCACTTATGTTCTATACGTGTAAGTCTTTTTTTTTCCTAATTACTCATTTTATTTAACTCCCTTCCTATTGGTTTATTTATATGTGATACTTTGGTTTATGTTAGGTATTTGTATTTCTCTTATTTACCTTTAATTTTCACAGTTTAATTGCTAGCTCTTTCTCGTCAAATTTCCTGTTTATTCTATTTTTAAATGGGGTACAACTGAATTTCATCTATATGTAATTAATTTATATGCTCTGTAATAAATACATTGAGCGCTTTTTTATGGATCATTTTTAATATTTTATATTATTAGGATTCACATGGATTACTTACCCAGTGATTTTTACGTATATATATATATATATATATATATATATATATATATATATATAGGGAGTTCGAATTCCAGTCGAATCCACTGCATTCACTTACGTGCTAATACCCTTGGGAAAGGTATGTATCCTCTTCATCTCCCTCCAGTTATGGGTAAAATAGCAGGACAGACTGGGTTCTATAGCCTTGGATGGCAACTGGTCTAGGAGAAGGACAACTCTGAATTCAAAACCTGCGGAGGGTCGTTTGGGAACCTTGTGGCATGCATTCGGTGCACCAGGTTTCTGTATTCGTCCCTCCAAAAAGTGTGGCTGGTCCTGCACAAGGCCTTCACCACTATAAACAAATCTCATGTGCCGGTGTCGGGATGTCGGTTTCCTGGGGACTTATCGGCCTGACCCTCATACGTCGAACGCGACGGGAGAGTCGATTATATATATAGGGACGGATGGGTAAAAAAATCTACATACAGGACGGACATATACGCGGAAGAACGTATAAATATATTTCTCCTACAGAGTGCTCATCGTTATGAAACAGAGCTCTAAGTATATATTAGTAAATATGCATAATATCGAACGTCGATAGTACAACTCGGAGTTTCATGCATTTCTTGCAATCTTCATGTTCTGACCGTTATGGTATTCGCGTTCCTGTGGTGATGATCCAAAATTGTGTCTAAATCTTGTTTATTTAATTATTGTTGCCTAAAATATTTTAATTAAATATTAATAATTCAAATTCGTCAGTTGGAAAGGCGAAGTATTAAAAAAATGAAAAAAAAAGAAATTTTAAATTATTTAAATTTAAATTTGGATTCAAAAGTAAACAATATATAAAGGGGGATAATTCTCTTTTTTTTACATAAAATACCTTAGTTATACCAATTACCTTAAACAAAACACAGAGTAGAAATATAATAAAAGGGTGAAAATATGAAAAACTAAAAAATAATAGGTCAGGACTATATATCTAATGTAATAAACCGAATCAAGTTCTCTCAGTCACTGTGTGTTTATCTAAAAATAAATACGCTTAAATTCACCTTCATCCTTGCCGTCTAAAGGGTAAAATCTCCGAGTCGCGCCAATTCAACCGGGTTTCGATCGTAGCTCGATGCAACCGGACGTATAGCCACACAGATGAGCCGTGATACAGCGAAACAGTCTGTCTGTGGATGACAATATATATGATAATATTATTTCAGTTGAGCTATCTGGGGAGGAAGAGTGAGTTTGTAAACAGTGACTATTACTGCTAATAATACAAGACTCTTCGGTAAAGCGAATGGACTTCTCTCAGTCACTCGTTGTTCAGCTAAAATTAAATACGCTTAAATTTACTTTCATCCTTGCCGTACGCCAACAGCTTAAAGGTAGAATCTCCGACTAACGCCAATTCAGCCGGGTTTCGATCCTAGCTAGAGGCAACCAGGCGTCTAGCCACATGAACTGTGATAGAGTGAAACAGTTTGTTTATGGATGACTATATATAAAATCTTTTCCCTGTTTATGCCTACGATAAATAAAACTCTTTCGCGACCAATATCACGAAGAAGTTGAGTTTGAGTGAACGCATATATTTTTTCCACTGGTCGCATGTAACTGACCCGTCAAAAGCTGCTTCAATGATTTCTTGATCGCCACTGTCACATGAGCCCGAGGCTGCTGATTTTTTTCTCATTTGATCGTGCGGGTTTGGAGGTAGCGCCCTCCTGTCTGGAAATCTTTAAGCATTGATTTTATAAGTTTTGAGTCTCCTGCTAGAAGGCCAGTAGCCACAACTCTTCCTCACTGAATTGTCAAAACAAAAAAAAAAATATGTATTTAATTTTGTTTAGATTGCTGAAGGGAAAATAGGAAATAAGAAAGAGAAAGAAGAGATTGAAAGATGATACAGGATAAAAACCATTGATATCTACGGAAAGCTGGAGTCAAGGAAGACATGGACACTGATGCAAATGGAAAAGGATGATGCTATGAGTCGTGAACACTAGTTTGCGTCAAACTCGAGTAGACCACCAATGACAAACTCGATTAATATCACAAACAACATCTGTTGAACGAAATTGAGCTATAATGACAAAGCATTTTGTTAACCTTCAATGTTGTCCACTGATAATAACAACTAACATATTCATTATTCAATTTTATTGGAGAGCTTGCAAATATATGAGAAATTTTAAATCACAGAAAGAAATGAGTT